TAATAATTATTGCTACTGCAAACTCCAGAGAAGAACTAAGTCCGGTTTTCTTAAGACTATTTTTGCAAAGTCAACAAGTTGGAAATTTAAGTAAAATAAATCGAGAACAATTATTGAAATGGATATTGAAAAGAGATTCTGTTGCATTAGATAACATAATGATAAAAACAATCGTAGACCATACTTCTGGTTTCAATTACACAAATTACATGACACTGCTGCTATTAGCTGTAAAGTAAATTTAGAAATGAAGCTGTTTATGTTTAAAATTTAAATAGATATACCTTTGCTTATTTGTATATTTAAATATATATTTTTTTGTTAAGGAATCATATGTCTGTACATAATATTAAATCTACTGACGTCATACTGGAAGAATCTGATATAATGCTTTCAATAGGTTTGTTAATTATAATTTCAAAGTTGATATATTATTGTATTATATCGAACTATGTTAATTAATTAGACTAAAATATAAAATCATTGTTTGATATATCTTTATAGAAAAAATAAATTTGGTGTTCACAAAATCAATTGGGGCACCATCAGTACAAGTTGTAAAATGGGACGATGTTGGTGGCTTAATAAATGTGAAAGAAGAAATTATGTCTGCATTGAAACCATCAACATTTAATATGAGGAGATCAGGTAATACATTTTAATAATTATAGTATGGTCTTAAAAACATTAGTTCTTTGCACTTCACTGTGGCCCATGATTAGTCTATTACATAGTGAACCATTAAATTAATACATTTTTTATGCAACTCAAGATAATGTATTTAAATGTATAGATAATAGTCTATAATCTATATAATATCTTAAACCACTTTTTAAAGATAATTTAATGGTTATAATTTTTTACATAGGAATATTATTATATGGTCCACCTGGGACTGGAAAAACATTATTAGCAAAAGCTGTGGCAACTGAATGTAAATACAACTTTTTATCAATTAAAGGTCCTGAATTACTCAATATGTATATTGGACAAAGTGAAGCTAACGTAAGAGAAGGTAAATATTTAATTATACATGTTTTGGAAAATAGTTAAGGTATACGAAAAATGTATAATGATAAGTATGTATTATGTGAAATTATGATGTCCTTAACTCCTTACTAATATTTAAAAATATGTTTTAGTGTTTAACAAGGCTCGTTCAGCTGTACCGTGTATTTTGTTTTTTGATGAACTTGATTCGTTAGCTCCTAAACGAGGTCAAAATGGAGATTCTGGAGGTGTTGGAGATAGGTATGGATTTTTTTTTATTCTTTAATTAAATTATATTTGCATACTTTATATATTTGTAGAGTTGTATCACAATTGCTAACTGAAATGGATGGAATGACATCAGAAAATCAACAAATATTTGTATTGGGTGCTACAAATCGACCAGATCTCATAGATTCTGCACTTTTACGCCCAGGAAGGTATTTTATTAAATATCATTAATTGTAATATGCTTTATTGAAAATAATTATTTATTTTAGACTTGATAAAAGTGTTTATGTTGGTGGTTGTAATGATAAAGAATCAAAACTGCATGTCTTAAGAGCATTAACCAAAAAGTATGTATAATTTTATTCAAATATATTAAAGGATATTAATTTGTATCTTATACTTAAATCTATACATTGAAAAGTGAACATAGACATATTTGGCTTATGTATTGTACAATTAATAATTAATTGTTTAAATATTAAAAATATAATTTATGCACAATATAAATATTTTATAAATTTCATAAACTTGCATTTTATGATGATATTTTAAAAAATATTCTAAAAACTTTTAATTTTTTAGATTCAATTTAAATTCAAATTTTCATCTAAACGATTTGATAAACCACTTACCAGACCAAGTAACAGGGGCTGAATTGTATGGAATGTGTCATAATGCATGGCTAAACTGTGCTAGAAGAGTTATCAAAAAACGACTAACACACATTAATGGTAAATCTTATTTTTATGTTTTAATATAAATGCATATATATTTTATCATTCTTTAAATATTTTAACTTATTTTAGTGATATTATAAGTTAATGTTAAAATCTCATTAATAAAACTTATTTTAGATGAACAATGTGCAACTGATGAAAATTTATTGGTAACCGAAGAGGATTTCATGAAAGCAATGAGTGAAAGTTTTATCCTAAAATAACAGTTTTACATAACTAGATATCAAAAAAAATAAAAAGACTGATTTTATTTTTATGATTTATTATATTATTATTTATATATATATATATATATATATTTTAAACCTCTCGAAGGCTTTTTTGTTATAATGATCAATGATCTTTAATGAAACATTTCAAAGGTGTACATGAATATTAAATGAATAAATATTTTTGGTTGATATAATATACAAAACATGTTTGGGTTATCACTCCCAGTTGATAGGCTCTGGCCTTAGTCTAATATTTTATCCTATACTCTGTCCAGCGAAAGAATGCTCCGATTCTGCAAATCCACCAGTGCCACCCTGCTATCAAAACCGGTTCTCTTATGGCAGGGGATCGCGCAGAAAAGCCAATTTTGGTCGGCCCACAGTGCTTTCTTTTGCTGGACCCGAAAGAGTAAAAGTCATAAACCTTGAGAGTTATCGAGTAGTTGGATTAGTGTGTTGGTCCAGCCTTATCTCGTGTTTGCGAGCAAACTTAGTAATGTCATCCTAGAAGGATGTAATCATCAAATCTTGATGGATAATGTCATAATATCTGTTATACCCGTATCCTGCAACAAGAGCAATATTTTGGCAGCGTTGAATATTCTCGATGTTGGACTCACTGGTACAACCCCACAGTTGTATTCCATTGGTCTGTATTGGTTTGATCTCCACTAACAAGACTTGTAAGGTCAAATTTAGAGTGTCCTCCATCCACCTAATAAAAATATTAATTTAAGTTGTATATTCTTGACTGGTTTAGAAACTAAATTATGCCTGTCTTGTTGTTTGAACATAAATATTGTATTATTTTCTATTTTAATTATTAAATTCTGATCTGTACTGCTGTTATCTTTTTTGATTTATATACCCATACGATAATAATAACAATAATAATGGTTGTGGTAATATTTGTTTTATTCATTTTAAAAAAGTACATTTTTTTTTTTTACAAGAATCACATAATTCATTAGATAAGTAGACTTAGTAACTTATTGTACAAGGCGTCATTACCCCTTAAAAAGAGTACAAAAATATACTAATACCATTTTTTTGAAATTATGCTTAGAATAAATGTAATTTTTTTGTACCTATTCATATAACACCAGCCTGTTTTAAATTATAGTCAAGTTTACATGAGCAAGCCATTTCCTGCTATTCATCATTCACCAATAGCTGTAATTTATAAATTATAATTCAACAGTGAAAAAATTACAATTATTTAATGGTTTATTCTAAGTTACATTTTAATGCATGATGCATAACTTATAATAGAATAATAGTAATAATGTATTTATAAATATTACAACAAATCATTGAACTTGTTTATTATCTAAATAACTCCGTATATTTTTGACAAGACTTAATATAATTGTATTCATAGTAAATTAAACAATTATACACAAAATGTTATGAGAACTAATAAATAATAGTTGATACATTAAAGAAAAATAGTTGTATATAATAATAATCAATAATTAAAATAAATGTAGAGATCATCAAATCAATGAACCAGTACAGTAACTATGTACAAATTTATTTGAGGACCCGATGCCTGATTATTTATCATGTAACAAAATATAGGCATTTGTATGTATTGCATGTTAATTTACATATTAGTTTTTGGAGACAAATTAATAATTACAGTACACAGTTTGATAATTTTTTCAAATAACACTACATTTCTCAACCACAGTACAATGGATTGAATCAGGACATTTTTAGGTCAATCTATAGGTACATAAATATATATACATTAGAACTATTTTAAATGTGGATATAACATCCTATTAAGTATTCAATGTAATCTGGTCTAAATTGTTATGTTAACTGAACAATTAATTGCATGTTTGATGCTACTTATAGTTTTTGAGAATAGTATAAATCCAAAAAATTATTTCATGGTTTTTTTTACAAATAATGGTCATGTATACAGCATGCAGAACTTTGAATGTAATTGTCTTGATAAAATATTTTTTGGGCTAAGTAAACATCCAGATTTTGAAACTAGGTAAGACTTGACAATTTTACTAATTTTTCAGGGAAAATAAAACATAATAACAACAATGCAGTACCTAGTATAAATTGAGACAATATAAAGGTAAAGAAATTAGAATATTGTAAGAAAAAATTGATGCAAGGATAAATGTATTAATATAATTTGCCGTTCAGTCAATGATTTTTCTTTCAGGTCTCCATAATTTTATTAAGTCATTAGATCCTCCATAAACACAAAATCGTTTACTATCATAAGTAGCACAATTCATTGGTAGAGGTATATCATTAGAAAAAGGTAAATGTTCACCACTTTCAATATCAAATATTCTCATTCCTCTTTTTGATGGCAAAAACACAATGTCTTCTTTCAAATTTTCAGTAACAGCAAATTGATAATCTTTAAAAATATGATTCTTGTTAAGGTCACACAATGGTACAGATTCGTAGTGGTTAGGGCGTAGATGACCAGTACTAACTTCCCTGCAATAAATAAATTACCATTAGCTGCTTCCCATTAATTTTTTTTTTAAATATTTTAATATAGTATTTCCAATTATTGAATAGTTGCTATATTTTAGGTAGAGAAATGTATGTATTTTTTTGATTTTTGTTTTCAACCTTATAACATAAATTTCATAAGAAATTCCATCCAATCTGCTTTTTTATTTTAACATTTTAACCCATCGATTATTCTTATTGTTCTTCGTTAAAATAGATTGAATAAAAAAAAAACATATAAATCAAAAAAAAAATTAACTATCCAATATTTGAAGGTCAATATTACATGCAAATTTATTAATAAACTAAATAATAAATACTGGCACTAATTTTGTAAATGTCTATTCCATTAATTAACAATTGAACAGTAATATAATAAATATAAAAAAATCCAAATCCAATTTTAATAGTTAATAAATAGTAAAATGATTGATGGCTCATACCATTTAATTTTAATTTAATTTAAATTAAGTTAATAATTAATAAATAATTAAAATAACGTTGGGTTCTATCACTGGATGGCCTCCCTCCTCATGTGTTCAGGTTGTAAAAATTTTTTTATGTATGTGTTCAAATTTGCTTATTATGCCTTGTAGCATAGATTGTAAACATTATAATAAAAAAAATAATTAAAAAAAATAATAAATAAATAATAACCATTACCAAGTTTTGATGCATCCCTTGTTATCAACAGATATAACACTATTTCCGTCATTATAAAACCGTAACCCAATAACTGGATTAGTATGGCTTGTTGATACAGAAAAGGAATCTTCATTTTTGAATTTGAAAACAAAATCTCTTTGAAAACGAATATCCCATAGGTAAATATTTCCATTGTCATTGCCAGTAACATATTGTAATTCATTTGTTGGATGCCAATGGATAGCTCTTATTGGTTTTTTTTCAATATTTCTCATAGTCATAACAACAATACCATGCATCATATCAATCATGAATACGTGTCCTTCTACTCCTGTCACTAGAAATAAAATGTTTTTTTTTTTATGTTTAGAGTTAATTAATCTCAAATTTAAATTATGTAGTACCTGCAACATATTTGTTATAACTATATTTTTTTGCAGCCATCACATGGTTCAAAACTTTTGTACGCATTTTCACAGTTTCAATTATCTTACAAGTAAATGAATCCCAAAAGTGTACAGAATCCATAGTACAAACTGTAAATACTGTACCATCCCATAGCCAATGTGCTGAATTTGGCGATCCATTATTATCAATAGGGTCATGTGGAATTGTCATTCGCTTCATTTGATCAAAAATTTGAACATTTTGTGAAACATTGTAAATAGCTACACTGTTGTATCTGGATATGACTAGTAAACTAAAAAATAAAATATTATTTTAATTTTTATATTTTAAATCTAAAATTATAATTTTCTTATATAAATAGTTTACTTTATGTTAGTCAAGTAGGTAATTAAAAGTTAAAGACAAAAAAATTAATATTAATACTTCAACATTTTAAGTCTTATCTTTACTTTATTACAAAAGTACCAACCATTTCTAGGTAACATAATATGAAATAATTACGTTTTAAATTATAACAATGATTTTTTTTAGAATTAAAACATAAAATATTAATTATTATAATATTATGTGTAAAACTTTCTGAAGATCTTATAAAATTAAATTTTATAACACCTAACTTGACTTTTAAAGATATACCAATGACAATATACTCTTAATGGGCATTGATATAGAAGCAATAATAACTTTATAAATTTCCTACTACAACCAGAATATTAAATTCTACATTATAAAATATACATACCGTTTACTTTCCCTTGGATCAACTTCCATACCCAAAATATCATCTTGCACATAATTTGGAGCGCCTGTACTCATTGGATTAATGTAAATTGCTGGCAAAGATGTTTTATGAAGTGCATAAGCGACATAATTAATTTCATTAATAATTGCACGACGTTTATATTCCGTGGAAGATATAGCTCCAATGGAGCGTTTTATATCCAGATCAATAATACGATTTGGTTTTCTCCTCTGTTAAAAGTACCAAAAACGATTAAAATTATATTATCCATAGCAATATTTTATTAACTTATAATACCTAATTAGATAATTTCAATATGTTGTTTGTATAAAATATAAATTGAACAAAAGCTAACAAATAAGCAGTCAAATAATATCAAAATATCTGAAAAAAGTTTATTACACTATAAACTTTAGGAAGTAGCATAGGTATCTAACAAGTGAAATAATTATAAAGAATAGTACAATATGAGGTTGTACCCTTCAAAATAATTGTTGTTATATACCAGTAAAGAAACATAATAATTCATGGTAAATAATCTAAATGATCCATTTAAGGTGACACAGTGCCTTTATTTTAGCTGTATCATATTGATATATTGGCTTGCCTTAGGTAGTCTTATACTACTGCCAGTACAGTTCTTTTAAAATTATATATTTCTTTGTGGGAATTTTAGATACGAATACAAAAAAAAAAATATTGTGTCGACAACTGTCATAATTGAAAACTGGAAGAAGTGAAAGATTTTAATTATGGTAGACTTTTAGAAATACTTATTTTGTATACCATAGATAAATCAGTATGATTATACCACTGAAATTTAAGTAGGAGAAAATATTAAACCCGTCTCAACATTTGACAGCCCTATTTCATAACTGTATCGGTACATCTGCGTTAATCGGCAATCGTTGTTTAGATGGCGATAAGACATATTTTACCAAGTTGGACACGTAATATTTACCTTGGGACCTTGTCCGCCGGACGGTGCCTGTTCCATGTCGACAGGATACGTTTACACGAACAACAGAGCGGAATCTGAACGGAGCAGCAGTCTATGTGCACTTGCAAAACACCGTCGGGGCGTCGATGTCGATTGTCACTTCGTCAGCTAGTCGACACGAATCCACCGGGAATGATTACGTAGTTAGGTGTATCAAAAGATCAGTACCTGTAGGAAGATGAGCAGCTCGAACCGCGACGGCGCGGTGACGGCTGCTATGGATACCGCGGAGTGTGATGAAGGGGTCGGGATTCCCTGCGAACCGAAGTGACTCGGTCCAATCCACTCACGCCGCCCGTTTAGGGTGAACAGCCGATTCATCCGCCGACGACGGCTGGCACAACGGGTAAGTCCGCCACTTGTAAATAATGTTACAGCCGTTGCCAGATAAATTGAGCGGCGGCGCTTTTCAGTAAGTGTAACCCAAACTAGTCGCTGGCAGTGTGGTGCATAGGTCACACAGTTGGCTACGACGCGCGCAGTCACCAGTTCGAACCCGGCTCAGTGCAAAAAATTTTCTGCAGAATTTTCTGTACTCTCTCTCCCATGCCATCGTTCTGGCTGCAGTACACTACTAAAAACAACTAACCCAACCGGTGTGTTTCGACCGCACGGCGCGGCGGGTCATCAACAATTTGTAAACAAAAAATGGAATCTATGGGTAATTCTGAGTGGGGAGCAGTTTGTGCAAACGTGAAAAATTAGAAACAGAAATGTGGAAAAATGAAAGTTATATGGACACCGAAATGGATAAATTAATAGTAACGTACGGAGAAGATACAACTGACGACAGCGATACAAGTACTGAAGATGAAGACGATGATTTAGGTGTAGCACCACTACAGAGTACAGCCAAAACAAACTAATGTTATGTATATTAAAATTGTAATTTATAATATTATAATGTATAATTTATAGTTGTTGTTATTATTTTATCATATTATTAATATTTTTATTATTATTATTATTATTATATTATTTATATTATTTTAAAATGTCTGCTTTTTGTTAAAAGATTATTATCAGAATATTGGATTTTAAATTAATATCGTAAAATAATTTTTGTAACAATTGTTGGTTTATTTCGGTAATAGTATTGAAATACGGAGAACCATTTTATGAACTAATTATAATAAATTAGAATTTTATTTTATGAAATAAGTCGACACTGATATGAGAGCCCAATTAATTTTATGAAACACTATCAAAAAGGTGGGCAAGTGGGTATCGCTCTGCTGTACAGTAGGTTACAAGTGATGGGTCACTGTATAATGGATGATATTAAATTTGAATTCAACGATATAATATCATTGTATAAGAAAAACGATTCTGAGCGGAGACGGTATGTCAGTCTAGGTATAAGACATATTATATAAATTATACATATTTATGGTACTAAAGAAAATTTGACCTATAATAAATTCCAAAATTAATCATATCACAATATCCATTAGGTACTTATAACGCGTTATACATCAACAAAAACCGTGATACTATCATCAGAGCCGTGTTAAGAGGGGGGCAAAGGGGGCAATTGCCCCCGGGCGCCATATAGTTTTGCAAAAGTGAGGGGGCGCTTTTTTTTGCTCTTAATATGCTACCTGTGGCTCAAATTGTAGGGAAGGGGAGCGAATTGCCCCGGGGCGCTGAATTGCTTGACACGGCAATGACTATCATAGATGTATAAAGGCGGGTTCACACTACACCGTGTCGTGTAATATAATCACGGTTACCTAAGTTACCAAACGATACCGCATAGTTGAATATATTCAACTTTTGACCGTGTGGTTACATTAAGTATGAACCCGACTTTATCTGCACATAAATGTAACCACACGGTCAAAAGTTGAATATATTCAACTATGCGGTATCGTTTGGTAACTTAGGTAACCGTGATTATATTACACGACACGGTGTAGTGTGAACCCGCCTTAATAGTACACTTTAGAAGTTTCAAGTACCCACGAATAATATTATTCAATCACAACAAAATAACTAAAATAGGTTATTTAATATGTAATTTCGTCCAAATTTGAATTTAAAATGTCTGTAAAAAATAACTGTTCATATATTTTTTAAATTTTTTGGTTACAGTAATACAGTATGAACTATTTATGAGAAGCTTTGTTTTAAATTTGCAATCCTTAGCTATAAAAACTGAACATTTTATAATTTATTAATTACAATGATTGATAGGTAATTTTCGAGATTTTGATAAATTTTGTCAAAATGCGATCTTTAAATGCTTATAAAAAAAAACTGTGCATATGTATTTTAAATATTTTTCAATTGCTATTGTAACAATGTATCAGGAGCCTTGTATTAAATTTTTACACTTTTTGGCCCAACAGATAAAACTTTATTGATATTTATAGAAAAAAAACTAAAAAAATTGAAAACTGAAAATGTCCGTAAACAGCTCAAAAAGAGTCAAAATATTTTCAAAATTGTACAGTGTATAGGAAATGCTAATCTGAACATTCAGTGAAATTTTCTTGTAGTTATTCGTTTTTGAATTACAACAAAATAAGAAAATCGCTACATGAGAAATCAAGTGAATATCCAATGTTGTAAAAATTTGAATTTCAAACGCTCATAAAAATTTAATTTGACTTTCCGGTAAAGATTTTTTTATTGATAAAGGTAGACAATCTTACGAGTAATCTTGTATTAGATTTTCAAATCTTAGATTTAAAAAGAAAAATGTTTACGAATTCTAAACTCAAAATAATTTGCTAATTTTCGTGATTTTTCCATATTTTGTCAATTTTTGAACTTTAAATGCTTATAAAAAAAAACTGTGACTAAAGATTTTTAATATTTTTCATCTGCCTTTGAAACAATATACTAGGAGTCTTCTATTAAATTTTCAAGTTTTTTTAACCAACAAATAAAATTTTATTGATATTTCTAAAAAAAAAACTAAAAAAAAATGAAAATGTCCCTAAACAGTTCAAAATAAATCAAAATATTTTGAAAATGTTATCGTGTATAGAAAATTCAAATATAAGCAACCAGTGAAAATTTCATGTATCTACGGTCATTTGTTTTAAAGTTACACCAAAAACCAAATTCAATTTTGTGAAAAATTGATTTTGCCTAAAAATTCCCGTTTTTCCTAAATTTTTCTTTTGTTTTTCTTGGCGCTTTTGAAAAGTACTGGGAATTTTAAAATTTGACCTCCCCAATGCAATAACGATATTCACTTTCCAATCGAACAAGATCAGTATCTTGTTCGATAATCGAAGCATTATTTCGACTACTTATCGTGTACACAGACACAAAAATAGAAAAATAAAAAAAAAACACACATCATTGTAAAATCATTACATTCATGACATTTATCGTTCCACTCAGAATCTAAAAAAATATAAAAACCCACATCATTGTAAAATCAATACATTCATCGTTCCACTCAGAATCTAAAATGTTTTGATAATATTGCCCACGATCAACGAAACAATAAAATATTATTTTTAAATTGTGGCGGCAACGATACACCTTGATACGAACGGTGTTTTATCCAAAAAATATTTCATCAAGCTAATATAAATATATAATATAGATACAAGTAGGCGAAATCGTAAAATGGCTCAATGAGTAAGGTGTTCCAATGATTTACTGGGGGACCGTATAAAATTGTTCTATGGTATAAATTACGTACACCATATTATAGTCGCGGGCCGTATAAATCCAGAATAAAATTATTTTTCGAACCGTATTATGCCGGTCCGTATAATCCCGGAATTTCAATATATGCGGACTGCATTGTCATTTGACATTTGTCACGGACCATATAAATCTGGAATGTATACCTACTCCCGGACCGTATTCTCTCGGAAAAAAAATTACGGACACCGTATAGTCGCAGATCGTATAAATCAGGAAAAAAAATATTTTTTGAACGGTATTATGCCAGGAGCTTACACTCTCGGAATCCTAATTTTAAATGATAACTATACCATGAAGCACTGTAATATATTTATATTTTATATTTTTATTTTATGGTTACAAAAATGTACAGTGGTCTATTATGCATGAAAAATGTCATATTAGTCACTCAATCTTCTTAACACCTATTACTTTAAATTAAACAAAAGCAGGTAAGTGGATGTCGCTCAGCTGTACAGTAGGTTACAAGTGGGTCATTGTAAAATTGATTGTATTTAACTTGAATTCAATGATATAATATCATTGTATAAGAAAAACGATTCTGAGCGGTGACGGTATGTCAGTCTAGGTATAAGGCAAATTATATAGTTAGGTATCTATATTCTATTATGGTATTAAAAAAAATTGACCTATTACGCGTTATACATCAACAACAAACCCTGATACTATCATAGATATATAATAGTGTACTTTAGAAATTTCAAGTACCCACGAATAATATTATACAATCACAACGAAATAACTAAAATAGTTATTCTAGGTTTTTTTTATGTAATTTCATCCAAATTTGAACTTAAAATGACTATAAAAATAAACTGTGAGTATGTATTTTTTAGATTTTTTAGTAACAGAATTAACTACTTACGTGGAATCTTGTTTTAAATTTTCAATCCTTAGATATAAAAACATTTTATAAATTTTTAACTATAAAATAATTATTCAATTTTAAATTTGATAAATTTTGTCAAAATTCGATCTTTAAATGCTTATAAAAAAAAAATGTGCATATGTATTTTTAATATTTTTTAACTGCTATTGTAACAATATATCAGGAGCCTTGTATTAAATTTTCAAGCTTTTTACCCAACAAATAAAATTTTATTGATATTTATTATAGAAATAAAAAACTAAAAATATTGAAAACTGACAATGTCCGTAAACAGCTTAAATAAAGCCAAATCATTTTCAAAATTGTGTGGTGTATAGAAAATGCTAATATAAACAATTAGTGAAATTTTCAAATATCTACAGTCATTCGTTTTTTAATTACAATAAAATAAGAAAATCATTACATGAGAAATCGAGTGAATATCAAATGTTGTAAAAATATGAATTTTATTTCAAATTTAATTTGAGTTTCATGTAGACATTTTTTTTTGATAAAGGTAGACAAATATATGAGGAATCTTGTATTACATTTTAAAATCTTAGATTTAAAAAAAAAAAATTTTACGAATTCTTTACTCAAAATAATTTGCTAATTTTCGTGATTGTTCCATATTTTGTCAATTTTTGAACTTTAAATGATGGTTGTAAAAAAAAAACTGTGACGAAGGATTTTTAATATTTTTCATCTGCATTTGAAACAATATAGTAGGAGCCTTGTATTATATTTTCAAGTATTTTAACTCAACAAATAAATTTTTATTGATATTCATAAAAAAAAAATAAAAATAAAATTGGAAAATGAAAATGTCCCTATACAGTTCAAAATAAATGAAAATATTTTGAAAATGTTATCGATTTTGTTTATGATTTTGCGTAAAAATTCCCGTTTTTCCTTAATTTTTCTTTTGTTTTACTTTCAACCCCCCCCCCCCCCAAAGTACCAACTAGATTTACTTTCCTATCAGAAAAGATACTGTTGAAGAAAATCCAAACACTTTTACTGTCTTAAAAGGTGATGACGGACACAAAAAAAAAAAAAAAAACACTCGTCATCATTGTAAAATCAATACATTCATGATTCATCGTCCCACTCAGAATCTAAAATAAATAAAATAGGTACTTAACTTTATCAATAATATTATAGCATAAAATGTCTTAAAAATTTAAAATATGTAGTACCTAATGGGCTAATGGCTAATGTTCATCTATTAATTTATTCAGATTAATATCTACCTACATCCTATCTAATGCTATAATATCCAAAATTACATTAATATATTATTTACTAATTAAGAAATAACTACAATTATTAGTAAATATAAAATGTAGGTAAATAAGACTTGGGTAGATAAAACGTATCAAAAGTATGTATAATTACTGTACTTACCTTTCTCGTTCTTAAGTTGTTTGGGTTATTAAAATAACTTATTAAAGTTATCTTCACTATTTATTGGTTCTTACACTTGTGCCTTGTGAACAATATTGTGATCAATACTCAAACTCGATAGAGAATTATTATATATTGGGACATATTATTTTGTAGACTTGTTTATTTTATTATATTGGTAATTGGTTCACTATTATATTATAGTATTGTCTGTAGTGTAGTCTATCAAATGTGGGTTCGATACCCGTATTTGGAATTCCTAGTTTTCAATCTATTAATATACGTATTATTATTATTGTCTTATCTCAAATTGACGAGTGACGAATATTTATAAAATAGAATCTAGGAATTTAATTTTTGTTATACAATCATTAGCTATATTATGGACTATGGACTATGGAGTACCATATAATATACATTCAGGATTTAGCCGGTTTGGGATAATTAAACACCATAATATTTAAAAATAAAAATCAAGTGGGCCAATTCGGGGCCACTGTCTTTTATAAGGGGGCCGTTGCAGTTGTGGTTAATTGGATATGCCTTTAGGTTTCCTGGAACATAGTTAATATTTTTTGGATACCTAATATTTCTCCTAATATATTTTCCTTTTTATTTCTAGTGGTATACCTCAGTGGCGCACCCAAGGGGGGGGGGCTTTGGGGCTTAAGCCCCCCCCAAAAAAATATTTTTTCATTAAATTACACATTATTATAGAAATTATAGTATAACAATGATAAATGATAATGTTTTATTTTAAAATGTTGTTATTATGTTAGATACACATATAATATTAATATATATATATATATAATAGTTCAATACTACGCGATAAGATTTGTGACAATCAATATACTCTACGGTGGCTATCGTCGATTTTTATTTCGTTGAAAATTATTTTTAGATTTATAGATACTATAACGATTACGTACGGTCGAGTCGGTCGACTTTGATTGTTAACTACGATAACAATGATAATTATGACCTAGGTCCTAGACTATACCTAGACTAACAAAACACCAAACTAAGCGATGTAATACACCATCTGAAAATATTGAAGAATACTATAGACGTTCAATTTTTATTCCATGGGTCGATTCATTTCTTAATAGTCTTTCTGATCGATTTTTAAAACATAAAAATCTCCTAACAATTTATAAATGTCTTTTACCAACCGGACGTAATCCAACAGATGAACAAATTTCAAGTTTTAAAAATCTTTTTGACTTTTACGAAAAAGATATGCAACAAATTAGTTTTTCTGTCGCAAGGCCGAATTCGAATTGTGGTATGAAAAATTTAAAAACTGTGGTTATACTTTACCGCTAAACGCAATTGATGGTTTAAATTTATGTGATATTAAAATTTTTGAATCAGTATTTATACTTTTGAAAATATTTGCAACGTTACCAGTAAGTACAAGTACGGCTGAGAGGTCGTTTTCCACACTACGGCGAATTAAAACCTATCTCCGGAACACAATGGGACAGTCACGTTTAAATGGTCTGGCAAATCTCCACATACATCGAGAAAAACAAATTAAAGAATCCGAAGTATTAAAAATTCTTTCTGAAAAGGGGCCCAGGAAACTTAAATTTTAAATTCATTAGTCATAATATTTAGTTATAAATATAATTATATAAATATTAAATACATAATAATATAACATATTATATAACATATGTTAATAATAAACAAAATTGGTTGTTTAAAAATTAGTTTTAATTGTTTACTTGTGTGTAAGGGGAAAAGAAAAATTATTAAGCCCCCCCCAAGCAAAAATTCTGGGTGCGCGCCTGGTATACCTACACTCTATAACCACATGCAAAATTAAGGAAAAACAGGAATTTTTACGCAAAATCGGTTTTGGACAAAATTGATTTAGGTTTTTGAGTAAATCTAAAACAAATTACCGTAGACACTTGCAATTTTCACTGAAAATTTATATTAGCATTTGCTATACACCATCAAATAATAAAAATATTTTGACTTGTTTTGAACTGTCTATGTATACATTATCAATTTTCAATTTTTTTTCAACTTATTTAGTTGTAATTCAAAAACGAAGAACCTTAGATGATTGAGATTTATATCATATTATATTTATTGGCTGAGAAGTCACCAGGTTTTGCCGAGAAGTCTTACTCATCAGGTTGACGCGGCCCGCATTAGTAGCATGTAGTATGTACAATTTATGTACAAGCACTATAGCGTCTATATAGACTCTAGAGACAGCGCCTCTTATCAGCACTGTTGTATCAGTATCACACTTTCACTGCATTTGCCTTATCACATAATCGGTTGATTACATTTAAATATTATATTTTAAATTATTTAAATAAACTATAAAGGCACTAAACTGCTAAAACTATTGTCTAAACTGCTAAACGATTGTCGATTGCCGATTTGAAATGCCACCATGCCAGTGCCATCACAATGACCCTGCTCCTATAGCTCGAGCCTCGAGATTGTTAACATTGTAAACGGCGTCACTTCGAAGTCTCCGTGCTAGCCCTGTTAGGTTAGGTTACTTTTCGTGTTTCGTCAATCGTCACTTTCGCAGCTTCGTGCCTCGTGCCCTCGTGGTTTCGTCTGTTTACTGTTATAGTGTTATTACTGTTACTATACTGTAAACTGTTAGTTGTTACTCTGTTGACTGTTCCTGTTCGTCTTTGACTTCTTTGAGTCTTTCCACTTTCGTCTTTCGAGTATTCGAGAGTCATCGAGACTCGAGACTTTCGACCTTTTCGTCTACGTGCGTACTGCCGTCCAGGTGATTTTTACTTTCGATTTTGTCAGTGTGATTTACCATGTCGTCAAGAAAAAGCGTTCTTTGGAATTTTTACGATAAATCCACTGACGATGACATATGCACGAATCATATCAAACGAAAACATCCATCTGTTAATATCGACAGAATGTCAAAGGTGGCCCGAAATTCTATGTCTTCAAGTATTGATCTAAGCGAAGCAAATGTTGATGAGCCAGCAGAGACCGATTTTGCTGTTTTGGCAAATCAAATTGTCGATACTGTAAGTTTAATTAACTAATAATTACTGATATAAATCATAACTAAAATATGTAGGTAACTAACATTTTAACTATAGGCCAACAAATTTCAAACAACACTGCAAAATGTTTCTCGTCCTCAGTCTAGTCAGTCTGGTGAAATTGGTTCTGAGTGTTCTGATATAGATTCACTTTTAACTAAATCAACTAATTCAACACCTTCATCTTTAGCATGTAGCTCTACCCAGAGTCTGAACAGTTTAAATCTGAAGCAGCCCAAAATTTACGAATCACTGTCGAATATTCAAGTATATGAGGGTAAGCATATTATTTTTAAATTAAAAATATAAAAATATTCATAATTGCGTTAATTGTTTTAGAAAGAGGTTCCAAAACCCAAGCAATCACCGATGCATTAATTTACATGATAGCTAAAGACAACATGCCTCTATCAACTACAGAGAAGCCTGGTTTTATTTACTTTATGCGTAAAACAGCGCCACTGTACAAAATTCCATCAAGAAAAGTTGTTACAAATTTAGTGAAAACTAAATATCAAGTGTTGTCTACTTTAGTTAAGTCTAGATTGTCTAACGTTGAGCATATGACTATAACAGCAGATATTTGGACCGATATAATTAATACAACTAGTTTCTTGTATATGACCGTTCATTTTTTAAGTATGTCAAAAGATAGTTTAGATAGTGTGACTATTGGAGTTTTAGAACTAGCTGATAGTCACAATGCAAACAACATTCGCGAATGGTTTGAACAAATTCTTAAAGAATGGGGTATTCAGAAGCATCAAGTATTAACTGTTGTTACTGATAGTGGAGCCAACATATTGTCAGCTGTTAAAAAAGCATTTGGTAATGATTATCATTTGCCATGTTTTGCACATACGTTGAATCTCGTTACCCAAAGACCGTTAAATGAACTTCCGGATATTCAGATTATAATTTCTAAAATCAAAAGTATAGTTACATTTTTTAAACAATCAGTCTCCGCTAATGATGACCTTAAAAAAGTATGTGACTTAAATCTCAAACAATCAGTACCTACCAGGTGGAACTCCATATATTATATGATCGATCGGTTTTTACTATGTTCTAACCATATTGCGTCAATATTAATAACGATTCGTCAAGGTCCCTCTATGCTATCTGTAGATGAAATAGGTATTGCCAAGGAAATTAATTTAATACTTAAACCTTTTGAAGCTGCAACTAAAGAGTTATGTGGGGGAAACTATATAACTGGTAGCAAAGTTATTCCATTAATTCATTGCCTTATTAAAAACTGCGAAAAGATTATTGTCAATAATCCTACTGTTGTACAATTAAAGTCTGCCTTGTTAGACAATTTAAAGCGACAGTTTGGTAGGATGGAGGAAATCGAAATTCTTTCAATGGCCACATTATTGGACCCTAGATTTAAGACTTTACATTTGAATAATTCAGTTGCAGTTTCCGTAGCAATCCGCACAATTTGCCTTAAAATTTTAGACTTAAAAACTAATTCTAGTGGTTCCAATAAAGACTCTAGTGATGATGATACCGAACAGGCTTATAATTTGTGGTCATTTCATAATGAATTGGTGTCAAAAAAAGCCTTGGAAAATTCTGAAGAGAACAATGAGTGTATGCCAACAGAGCTAGAACATTTTTTAAAACAACCTACAATACCCTTACATGATGATATTTTTAAATTTTGGAAGGTACATAGAATTATGTATCCTCATATAGCCAAAATAGCTGAGCCATATTTATCCCTTGTAGCCACATCAGTTCCATCAGAAAGATTATTTTCTAAAGCAGGTAACATAATGACTGCTAAACGAAATAGGTTGAAGGGGGAAAAATTACAGCAACTTTTATTTTTAAATTCTCTAAATGTAGATGACTGGCACTTAAAATGATAATTTTAGTTTTTATGTATTTTTTAAATATTGTTATATTTGTATATTATTTGTAAATATGCTGACATTATTATAATGACATTACAAATTATATACAAAACTTACAAAGTGTGAACATCGAGGTTTGACCGCCAATCGACCTGTTGCACTTTGTAAGTTTTGTATATATTTTTTTGTAAATATGTATAATGCCATATACTCTGTTGTAATTATTTTGTATAATGCCATATACTCTGTTTTAATTATTTTGTAAATATGTATAATGCCATATACTCTGTTTTAATTATTTTGTTTATATTATTTTGTAAATATGTATAATGTAATTGTCTGTAGTCTGTACAGCCTACGGTTTTTTATATATTGATATTGTAAAAAGTTTATGTGAAAGTCAATCCAAAAATACCAATGATATAATTACTAAAAATATTTATATTATAATTACAGTATTACAGTATTTACCATAATCATTGAGATTTTATTTATCTACATTATATATATATTTGTATTGTATCAGATTCTTATCACTTATTAGTTATTAAATATTGTTACCGGAATTTTAAATAGTGAATATTTATATAAATTATTTAAATATTTATGTAAATATTATTATTATTTATTTCTATTAAAAAAGAAACAATACATTTGATTTGTATTTTTGATTTAATTTATTTTAATTGTATCCATTAGGTAAAACAATAATGAATTATTAAAAGACATAATATATGTAGGTATAAAGAAAATTTAGAGTCAAAATAATTTTGAAGTTTTGTTTTTTGACATATAATTGTATGGTGTTTTGAAAATTGCCCTTTATTTAATTTAAAAAACATATTTTTGAAATAACATTTAATTGACTTATAAAGTTACATAATATTCACCACTGTTATGAAAATTTAGATGTGTTACATAATAGTATGAATTATCTAATATACTTTATTCACCTTAGGTTTGTAATAAATAGGTAAGTAGGTAACTTAAATATTAAAAAAAATTTTATCTTTTTTTTTATCTGGATAATAATTATTGTTTTTTTTATCTTTATCTAGATAATTAAATTATTATGTATATTTTATCTTCATCTAGATAACTATTCTATCAATTATCTTTTATCTTTATCTAGATATTTAAAAATGTATCTTTATACAACACTGCTAATTATGAATGTAATATTTTACAACAGCAAGAATGTTGCTTCAATGAGAAGAAATAAAATGTGTTTATGACAGGATATTTTAACTGAGTTAAACATATTCTTATAACTAGAAGTTTAGTGTTTAATATATTTATATATCACACCAAAAACACTTTGTTAATTTGTTATAACTCCGTGTAAAAAAAAAGCTGAGTTAAAAAAAAAAATGTCATGATTAAATTTTTAAAAGAAGTGATATAATATGGAAATTAAGTAAAATTACATTTAATAATATTACAAATATCTATGATGACAAATTAGATCAATTGTAATGTTAAATACTTAGTCAACATATTGTTGATACATTATTAATTACTGTAAATACTGTAGTGATTACTTAATTGTATTTATTTAAGTATACTTCTGCACATCCATAGATTTTTACAAATTGGAATCTACCGGACAGATAAGATTTGAACCAGGACAGAAGAGGTTCGCCAAACCCAGATTTGTATAGGAACTCGGAAAGGAAGTTGTGGTCAACTCGATCGAAAGCTTTGGTTAAATCAGTAAAGATTACATAAACCTGGGATTTATTATCGAACGCTTCTAATACAAAGTTATTAAAAATAGTTAGGTTCATAGCAGCGGAGCGTCCTGGTCTAAGACCATATTGTTCATCGATTAAGATTGCATTAAGAGATGGCTGTATGTTGTAAGACTAGGGATTCAAATAATTTCGCTATATGACTTATTTACTTTATAGTATGGAGATGGGTCTGTAGCTTAAATTCATAGTTCTCATTTTGACTAAATTCGTCAAAATCCCAAAAATGTGCAAATAACTCGAAATCTTCAATTATTTTAGATTCTGAGTGAAACGATGAATGTATTGATTTTACAATGATGTGTGTTTTTATATTTTTTTTTTATTTTTATTTTTTTATTATTTTTTTATTTTTGTGTGTGTACACGATAAGTAGTCGAAATAATGCTTCGATTTTCGACTTCAGTATCTTGTTCGATTGGAAAGTGAATATCGTTGGTGCATTGGGGGGATCAAAATTTAAAATTTCCAGTACTTTTAAAAAGCGCCAAGAAAAACAAAAGAAAAATGAAAGAAAAACGGGAATTTTTACACAAAATCGATTTTTCAGAAAATTGAATTTGGTTTTTGGTGTAACTTTAAAACAAATGACCGTAGATACATGAAATTTTAACTGGTAGTTTATATATGCATTTTCTATACACGATAACATTTTCAAAATATTTTGATTTATTTTGAACTGTTTAAGGACATTTTCATTTTTCTTTTTTTTTTAGTTTTTTTTCTAGAAATATCAATAAAATTTTATTTGTTGGTTAAAAAACCTTGAAAATTTAATAGAAGGCTCCTAGTATATTGTTTCAAAGGCAGATGAAAAATATTAAAAATCGTTAGTCACAGTTTTTTTTTATAAGCATTTAAAGTTCAAAAATTGACAAAATATGGAAAAATCACGAAAATTAACAAATTATTTTGAGTTAAGAATTCGTAAAAATTTTTCTTTTTAAATCTAAGATATGAAAATGTAATACAAGATTCCATATAAGATTATCTACCTTTATCAAAAAAAAAAATGTCTATAAGAAAGACAAATTAAATTTTTATGAGCGTTTGAAATTCAAATTTTTACAACATTGGATATTCACTCGATTTCTCATGTAGCGATTTCCTTATTTTTTTGTAATTCAAAAACGAATAACTGTAGATACATGAAAATTTCACTGAATATTTAAATTAGCATTTCCTGTACACCATACAATTTTGAAAATATTTTGACTCTTTTTGAGCTATTTACGGACATTTACCGCTTTCAATTTTTTTTAGTTTTTTTTTCTATAAATATCAATAAAGTTTTATCTGTTGGGCCAAAAAGTGTAAAAATTTAATACAAGGCTCCTGATATATTGTTACAATAGCAATTGAAAAATTTTAAAAATACATAGGCACAATTTTTTTCTATAAGCATTTAAAGATCGTATTTTGACAACATTTATCAAAATCTCGAAAATTATGAATCATTGTAATTAATAAATTATAAAATGTTCAGTTTTCATAGCTAAGGATTGCAAATTTAAAACAAAGGTTCTCATAAATAGTTCATACTGTAACCAAAAAATCTAAAAAATATATGAACACAGTTATTTTTTACAGACATTTTAAATTCAAATTTGGACGAAATTACATAAAAAAAACCTAGAATAACTATTTTAGTTATTTTGTTGTGATTGAATAATATTATTCGTGGATACTTGAAACTTCTAAAGTGTACTATTATATATCTATGATAGTATCACGGTTTTTGTTGATGTATAACGCGTTATAAGTACCTAATGGATATTGTGATATGATTAATTTGGAATTTATTATAGGTACCTATTAATTATAGGTCAAGTTTTGGTTTAGTACCATAGATATGTATATAATATGTCGTATACCTAGACTGACATACCGTCTCCGCTCAGAATCGTTTTTCTTAAACAATGATATTATTATATCGTTGAATTCAAATTTAATATCATCCATTATACAGTGACCCACTTGTAACCTACTGTACAGCAGAGCGACACCCACTTGCCCACCTTTTTTGATTTGGTTTATTAATTATAATTGTTACTAATTGTAAAAATTACAAATTAAAATTATATTATAATCAAAATAATATAGGATGACTTAAAAAAATTGTCAACAATAATAATTATATTAGGTATTTCAGGTGGATTATTTTGAACCAGCCCCGGGGGACATATTGTGACACCGGCCCACTATGCAATTGCACAGTAGCACAGTGGCACAGTCCGCCTCTAGGAGTTACCTGTTTTTTTCTATTGTAAGTACAACTATCATAGCAAAGCAAACGGTAATACGACATACGGTATACCTATGTCAGTATCTACTCAGTCAACTATAAATTATAATTATTAAACATAGATTTACTGCATTTAAAAATAATAAAATCTGATGAGAGTACGTGACGTCTTGATATCAGTTCACTCTGGCAAATAGACACTGGAATATACTCAGTGGCGCTCCAGGATTATACAATGGGGGGGAGCGTTTAAGCATAAATAAAACAAAGTTTTTACAGTTTTCGTGTATAAATAATACATTTATTAGGGGAACAAACGTCCTACCCCTCCGGACTTAAACACCCAAAACCCCCCTGGCCACCACTATATTAAGGCGGAATTACTACAGTTTATAGTAGTACCACATACTACATAGTACCTACCTACATACTCGTAAGTCATAGTAAGTACATATTTTATGATAATTAATACATTTATTACATTTATTATTATCATATTATACCTGCTTGTTTTGCACATAATGATAATATTATATTATAATAATTCACGCATTACGTATATATAAATGCAAGGTACATGTAAAATATTATGTTCTTATTAAAATAAATATATCACACTATCTTATACTCTGTTCAAGTTATTTAGAGTGCCCAGTAGCTCGGACGAAAACTGGTTCTGTTCGCGCATGCATGGGGAGCGCTCCGGTGTGCCGACGCACAACCATCTGTATATAGACGGCGGCACGCCTCCGATCCGACAGTCGACTACGGCGGTCGACAATACTGACCAATCACAACGCGTCTGCTGTCACCTGGGGGGGGTCTGACAGCTGTCGGCGGCTCAGTATGCATGCCCGATTTTGGGCACTCTTAACCTGAACAGAGTATAGTTGTTATTGTTTTTCAGTTAAATAAAATAGGTACCGACTTCTGATATTCGTCAATTAATATAACAGTTTGATTATATCATATAGTAATTGTATCACACTTCTATTATAGAACCAACCTAACCTATAATAGGTCTTTACATGGTATTAGTTTATTTCATAGAAATTAGAAAATATCTAGATCTCCTAGGTTTCCCTCTAGACATCAATAGTTCCCTCCCACTAAATGTTATTCTAATTTATAGATACTAGGTAGTAGGTACGTGCATTGGCCATGGACCATTTAAATAGCAATCAGTGAACGAGCCACTCTGATAATCAACATTGATTAATATTAGGCCTCGACCACAATATAAATTTGACAATAATAGTCCACATTGTATATAATATATTATGGTATTATAGTTGCGATTGGCTAACAGAAATATTTATGTCAGTTAATCAGTCAAACACTTGAAAAACTAAGGTCTTACCTAATATTATACATTATTCTATAATCTGATTCTTCTCTTATTATGAGTTACACTACAATACATTAATATAATCAATACATCAAGCAATATTCTCAGCATGCACACTTAGGGCCGATTTCACCATCACAGTTAATCACGGTTAACGCTTAATCAGCTGATAACAGATATTTAACCGGCCAAATTCAGACAATTAAAACTCCGGTTAACTTTAATCGTAATTAACTGTGTTGGTGAAATCGGCCCTTAATGTCAAGACGGGCTACACGTTGACACAACTTTCTCAATGCTTCTATTATGACGTGCAGTATTAACTTATACTTACATAAAAAATATAGAAACCTTTAGACATACTTCAACTTCCTATTTTTTTTTTTAATATTACAAAACGAGGTTATTATTTAAAAGTATATATTATCATTTTTTAAATAAAGTTTTTGTTGTTTTAATAATATTATACAACATTGAAATAAATATCTTTAAGACAGATATTTAATAAACTTTTCATATAAAACTTTGTACTTATCTAAATATGAAAACAAAAAATGAATGTGTAAATAAAATACAAATTACAAAAATAGGATTAAATTCTAAAATGAATACAATAATAATAAAAATATAAATGTAGGTATTCAATAAAATTAATATTTTTACAAATTTTAACTAAATAATGTAACTTTAAGACAACTACTATTTTATAATTCTATAAATACATCAATTTATTGTAGTTCGTTTTTACTTAGTATAAATGTTGTTCAAAATAGTATTTATTTTAAAATATTTTAAATATATAATAAATACGGTAAAATATTTAAAACTATTATTTATCAATTAGTAAACACTATAAAATTAGTTTGAAAATTTAGTAGTGAACGTAACAATATTACAAAGAAAATTGACTATTTCATTTGTGTTATTACTCAAAATATATTTTATTATAATAATTTGTAGGATTTATTTAATTATAAAAGATAAGTAAGCTACAATAATTTAATTCATAAATGGTCTACTTATTTTTTTTTAAATTCTTACATATAATATCTAAAAACCCAACAAAATACAGAGTCTGTTATTTTTAGTCTCTAACATTTATAACAAGCAAATTTAGTGGAAAATATCGTTGTTGAATTTATTTATTATATAAAATGAAGTAATAAAATAAATAAATATTGCCTCATATTAAAAGTTATCTTTATGAAGTGGAATACTGATTAAAGAACATTTTAACAAAAAACATTTAATAGAATTTTTATTTTGGATATAAAGTGTAGAGTAAAATATACATTTTAATAAAAAAATTTTGATTTATACAAAATGACAGCAAAAGTAAGAATACTTTTAAGTAGTTGTAATTTAATTTACACTTCTATATACAATTGCTTTATTGGAACATTATAAGTTACTACCGGTTATTAAAAAATATAAACTATTTGGCACTTAATTATGAAAATGCATTCTATTCTGAATTTTATTGAGTGGTTATTTTATCATTTTGTGTATTTTTATAATACGTGCCAGGCGTTGTTTTGGTGTAGCCATACCTTTTCTTGGTCTCCCAACTAAAACACAAACATAATGAAACACACAAATTATTGTAAACTAACATTATTATGACCAAAAATAAATTTAAAAAAAAAACAATACAATCTGGGATTTAAACTCATAACTTTAAACGTTAAACACACACAGGTAAAAGCTGTAGTTCCTATTAGTATTATAGTTTTAACTTTAATACAATCATGTTAAAAGGTTTTTGCTTTGAATACTTATATCTGTATGGATTAAATTTTACTCTAGATTAAAACTGCAAAATATTACCTTTAGAAGGCAGTGAATCACAGTTTTTTTTTGTTATTGATTCACTAACAGTTGTTTCGTCTGTTAAATCAGTAGCTGGCTTTGAAACATCTATGTCTTCTAAAACTTGTTTACTTTTTGGTAAACGACCCTTTTTCTAATTGAAGTAAAATAAAAGGTTATAAATATTTAAGTATTTAAATTCAATGAATGGTGCCATTTTATGAATTACATACCAAACGTTTAATTGGTACTTCGTTATTCTTATTATTTTTACATTTATTTTTCTTTGATACAGGTTTTTCATCTTTTGGATACAAACACTTGATATTTTTGCGTGTTAAGCGTTCCCCAGGAGTTAAAATATTAGATGGTGGTTGCCACGTCACATCCTTGGTATCTTCATCATCAGAGTTAGTTATAGCTGGATATACTATTATGAAAATTAATTGTTAAAACATAATTTTTATACATATTTATATTTTATTTTAAATTTAACATGTTACAGTATTAATTTTATTTGTATGCAATAAAAAAAAAAAACAGCAGTTATTAAATATTATTAGGTATTTATTATTTAATTATAACCAACGATTATACCAATGTCATGTTTTATATTTACAATTTAAATGCATCTATATTTACAATCAATACAATTATAGACATATATGACCTAAATAAAATGTTTAATCTGACAATAAACTAGTATTTTTTTCCATCATATTATCAACATTAAAATTTTTTTTTGGAATGACAATAGTGTATTAAAATTTTCCCTATAGTTTTACAACAATTTTATGACTAAAATTAATGTTTGTTAACACATTTAAGTAAACAATAATAGTAGGACGAGTAGTTAAAATAAAAAGGTACATACAATTATTTTTGGTTAAATGCAAGTACTTTAAAATTCACCTGTCCTAATAGTTCATGACAATCAAATGTATTGTTAAGAAATAATAAACTTCTTCATAAAAGCGAGTGCAATATTTTAATATTTCTTTAGTCTTTCTGGCATATTAATTTTAAAAGCTAAAAAAGTTTATATTAATCTTGCACATTCCAAGTTCATACATCATCAAAATGCACTTCTTATACAATTAGAGGCATTCAGAGATAATCAAATATATTTACATACCATACAAACAATCTATCTATACTGCTTTATAAATTATTGATATCACATGGAGAAAATATACATTTTCAGGTTGTTGGAAACTAAAGAAATTTAAAAAACGTTAAAAATCATGAAAAATGTCATTAGTAAATAATATAACAAATATTACATAATATAATACAAATTATTTGAAATGTGATATAATATTTACTAAAGAGTGATAATTCATTAAATGATTCAGATAATATGAATTTAACTATCATATCAAAAAAATTTGGTCTCCAACTTACTTAATCACCCAGGAACTATAGTTATTATTTGTCTATGAAAAGATTTTTTTTATAATTTAACTTTATATCTATAATTCTAGAAAAACAGCAGTTAATAATGATAGATAATATAAATAAATTTAGTATTGATCATAATAATAAAAATAAAATTATAAATATACTATTATTCAAAATGTTTAGTTAATACCCAGTATGTTTAATAGGTTTGGTACTATTATGCAGGTACTATGAATATTGTAATAGTGATTAAAACAATTAAATAAAGAAGTCAATTATCTAGATCAGCGTTTCTAATTTGTGGTACACGGAAGGCTCATAGGTGGTAAGCGAAGACAATTTCCCTTTAAAACAAAAAAAGGAATGGTGAATGGATCATAATTTATATTAAATATTATTTGGTTTATTTGATATTAATAATAATTATATATATTTCATTTTATTTTAGTTATATTGTTATAAAATTTTAAGTCATAACTTTGTAGTTATAAAATAAAATAAAATTCCATATGCCATGTAAAATAATGTACATACATTTTTCATAAGCAAAATAAAATAGGTTATTTGGTATTAAGAGGTTACAGAAATTGTTCAACTGTATAGGTGGTAGTGTGGTACATAGGTATAAAAAGGCCGAGAACCGCTGATCTATGTACTTATATTATCTTATATTATGCATGCTAATAATATTAATCTCATATTCATATTACAATGTATGGGTAGGATATATAACTAAAGTCTGGATTTATATTCTCTTAAAACACCTCAAATACAATGCTGATATTCTGTAAAAAACCTACAAATGTTCTTATATTATTAACTCAACATTTATAAAAAATATGCAAAAATAATCAATAAATCTATTATATATTTAAATATGCAATTTTTTTTTTTAGAATAGTCAGATTTATACTAATGGAATAATTGCACTTTAGTAAAAGTTAAAACAGTCAATATAGGGCATTTTATGTAAAATGGTTCTATAAATAAATATAATTCTTCATAGATTTTTTATTTTACTCATTTTATAAACTGAATAACACGCAATGCAAACCCAAAATATTTTTAAAATATTTTTGTACTTTTAACAAACAAATAAGTTGTTGTATCAGTATAGGTTTTGTAAAGTAATACATAATACATAATGGCACAGAGAAATAATAGTACTACAACTGAGTATTATTTTTTTATCAAAATTATATTTAAAAAAAAACTAAGATTGGTAAAACATTTTTTTAGGTACCATAATATTAACAATTAAATTAATGAGTATTTCTTTTTCATAATTTACAAAATATGCTAAATATTCCCTAACATGTCATTCCCTAACTCATGAAATATTCTCAAATATGCAAAAACATTTTTTCTTATGAACTCTGTTGAATGAATCATCCACATTATTGTACTCTCTTAAGACTGTATAACCTCAATAATGATATGCAAAAAACTTAAAACATATAAATCCAGACTTTAGTTATAGCAAACTATTCTGATTTTCACTAAATCAAAATAATAAAAACAAATATTTTGAATTAACTTACTATAATTTTCATCTTGACGAATAGATTCAATTGGTTCATCACATATATCGATCAACTCTGATTCAGTTTCATCAACTTTTTGAACAAATTCGCAAGTGTACGACCTATAATTTGTATATATATATTATTTTAAATAATATTCTGATTTAATTCCTATAACACAACCTATTAAATCTCAAATATAATATAAATTTTAAAATAAAAATAAAATATAGAAAATAGCTACAAAAACCAATGGTATTTTTATATGAGTTATTATTTATTACTTTTTAGTTATAAGACATATTCCATTTTAGGTTACACAGTTACAAAAACATAAATAAATTATCTTTAGTTGAACTGATCTTTAAAGCATTACTAATCAAGATTATTTAAAAAAAAAAAAATAGTCCATACTCGTCTAAAATACGAACGTTCCCGGGCGGTGAACCAAAAAAGGTTTGCCGCACGCAATTTGGGCTTATTCTTCTTCAGATTAAATTTATTTTTTTCAGTGATAAAAATAACTTTATATTATACAACTAAAATGACTTATTTCTTTGTTTCATCATTTTAATAATTAAATATAAATTAACTTAGTAATTAATAAAATATTATAAGTAAAATTAATTTATTGTTTACAATTTTACTGATTGTAATATGGCATAATTATTTTGACAACATTTTTGTTATTTCATCATCACTATTCTACCGGAACCACTGGTTTAACGTTTATCAGTTTTGGTATTACGTCTTTAAATTATAGAGTTTTATAGCATATTATTATAATTTTATTTATATAATTTAAAAATGTTTATCAAAAACAGCTAAACTTTTCACTAAGTTAAATATTTTAATAGCTATTTTTCATCACTATTTATTTAATAACATCAAAATTTCCAGGTTCGCCTCACTCAAAATGTATTTCACTTGACCCATAACTAGTACAGTGAAAAAATATAACGACTGATACAGCACAGTATGATATACACTTCATCTGATAACGACATTTCAATAGTTTTAAAAGTATTTAAATAATTGTATGCTTACATATTACAATAATTATAATACATACAATCATTTTGACCTTAATTTTTATATAAAATTATTATTTTATAATACTTCAATGAAAGTTTTGTAAGCATAAAAAATGTAAATTAAAATACAATTATTTGTTAAACCTTTATTTCATTCTAGGATTTTCAAAATCTGTTATTAAGGCTAAAACCTAGATATAATGGTAGTAGACAAAACTTAAAACTTAATTTAAAAAAAATAAAAATAAAAATAAAAATACCTATTACATTAATATATTTTTAAGTTAAAAATAACTTAAGCCAAAACTCCAATTAGAAAGTTTTCTTCCAATACTTAATTTAAAAAACCTTTTTTTTATATTCATAAAAATACATTGATTGTTAATATTTAATGGTCTAAAATATTTTTAACTTAAATAGGTGTGAAGCTTTTTTGATAAATAAATCATGATACATAAAATATTATTAATTGATAAATAAAATATAATAATAAGTGTAATTTTTTTTTTAATATTGCAAAAATAAAATGTTAAGACTGAGCCCATAAATAATTTAATGGATCAATAAAATTTAATAGACCAATTAGGAGCCATTAAATCATGTTTAAAGGACCATTAGCTCACTATTGATTCAATTAATGTAATAAAATAGCTTACGCTGCAATTTGTATCTGTATTCTATAATAATTATCAAATCCTATAGAATCTGAGCCCAGATTATTAGATTGTGTATATTTTTAGTCAATTGTATTGAAACTTACACAACTTCATCGTGCTCTGTGGATGAATCTTTACCTTCAACGTCAACGTCAGGTTCTTGCTTTTTGATTCTAATAATCATTTTATCTAAATAAATATTATTTTTAAATTAATAATAGTATGGAACTTAGTAAGTAAATAGATAATCATATACAATATACATACCTTGAGTAGCTAATTCACTAGAATATTTTTTATGACGAGAGTTTTCGGGCATTTCATCAATATCTAATTCCATATTTCACCAGCTACCTACTATAAAATACATTAAATCAATGTTAAAGTAATTTGTTAATATTATATTGCATTCAAATTAAATTAGAGTTTGTATTAAGAGGATGTTACACCAACATTTTTTGTCTTTGTCTTACAAGTGCGTAATATAGCAAATTTTACGCTTAGCAGATCACATTTAGCTCTGTAAGTTTAAAAATTGGAGTGAATTGACTTCTTATAACATTCAAAGGTAAGATTATTATTTAGGCAATGTCATAGGCTTTTTATTATATTTTAATGTTAAACCGAGTTATCAGTATTCTAGATGTACAAACAATTTCCAGAAAAAAATAAAATATCAGGATCACCATATTGGTTTTATACTCGGTTTTATAAATTTAGGTATATGTACCACACCTGAAATATAATAAGCAAATTAACGTAGCATTAAGATTAATCCGGAATAATACTTATGCATCTGTGTTACTTTGTTGGCAATGATCGATTTTACATTTACATTGTTAGTCAAACAATATAAAAGGCAAAAAATAAGAATATTAAGTGTTAGTTTACCTATGTAATACTATCAACAAATAATGATACGACCTAACCATGAAGGTGTAGTGTATAGATAAGAATATAAGGAATGTGAGTATAGTACTACAGACGCTACAGACAACACACTTACCAATTTCACTTCACTTACAATTGACACAAGGTTATTTGTAATACTTCAAATGTCTACTAAAAGTGAATTATATATTATATTATAAAAGCAATATCAACTGAAACTCTGAATAACTGTAGACTTGTGATAAATACTGTATACTAACAGAAAGGAATAATTAACCTGAAAATACATGTAGCGGCACAATAATGTCAACGCTATGGAAACATCGATACGAATAACCACTTGGCTTCACTTAACAGCATAAATGAGTTTTAGGATAATGTAGATGCCAAAACATTAAAACCGAATGGGATCTACACGAATTTGCTCAACGGCTATTGAATACTCACCTAAAACAAGAACGTTTGACACTGCGTTATGATGCAATAGTGAGATCGATAAATCTGACCGTCTGGTTGATAGTTACGCAGAATATTTCCCATTTGGGCGCGCAACGGTATGAAACTACGAAAACGTCATTAACGACGACATATTATTAGGAAATAGTTAACTGACAAATTAAACTAACGTTTTTTCACAAGAACAACACAACACAACAATCATATTTTGTTTTCTAAATAATATTATCATTCGCGATATCGCCATATCGGAAACCGGCTATCGATAACCATTCGATAACAGTACCTATTCGAAATAGCCGTAGCTACAGCCGATTGGTCGATGTATGTTTAGTAGATTAATCGTTGTAGCGTCGTATCGAAAGTGAATACATAATTAGTTAAATAATTTGATGATTATTCATAAATAATATCAGAGTTGTCAGCATCGTTAATTCAATGATTAATTATTATTCGAAAATCGAATGATCGTAAACCGACGAGTGACGGCTACGAAACGTATTCGGTCAGCGGCAGTAATAACTCACTACGATTGTCCCGAATTAAAATCGTTCGATAGTGCGGTACGTGAAATTAAACGCTGTTATCATAGAATTAGAGAATCGTAGAATGAAATATAGAAAGTTGGAAGTGTTGGAACATGAATTCAGATTTTGATTCATGGTAAAAACTTTAGAAGTTGTCTGCATATTGTTGCTACCTAATATATTTTATCGACGGACGGTTGTTATAGGATAACTATTCTATCGACCACAAAATGTATGTAAATAATAGATTATATCTTTTATTTGTCTATGGATTTTATCTACTCTGTGTATCGTCTGTGTAATATCTGTGACCCTCATAGATACGGTTATCTAGATAGATATTAAGATATTGGAATTTGGAATTAGATAATATCGTCAGCTTGAAGCAAAATCTTACCAACAGCTAAAAATGTTCGGTAATAGCCAATAAGACGTAAACAATAATACTTTAAATAATTTAGATTCTGAGCGGATACAATATACTTATATACCTATAATATTGATGTTTGATTTTACAAAGTGTGTTCTTTTAGATTCTGAGCGGAGCGATGTATGTATTGATTTACAATAATGTGTGTTTTAATTTTTTTTATATTTTTTAATTTTTTTTTTTATTTTTGTGTCTGTCACCATCGTTTGGAGCAGTAAAACTGTTTCGATTATCTTCAACAGTATCTTGTTGGATGGGTTTCTAGTTGGTACATTCGGAAGGTCAAAATTTGAAATTCCTAATAGTTTTCAATAGAACCGAGAAAAACAACTTAAAAATTAAGGAAAAACTGGAATTGTTTTGGTCTTTGGTTTTTGGCTTAACTCTAAAACAAATGAACAAATACATGACATTTTCACTGGTTGTTTATTTCGCATACTATTCAAATTTTGACAAAAACAAAATACGGAAAAATCACAAAAATTAGCAAAAATTATTTTGAGTTAAGAATTCATACAAATTTTTCTTTTTCAATCTAAGATTTAAAAATGTAATACAATATTCCTGATAAGTTTGTCTGTCTACCTTTATCAAAAAAAAAATATCTATAAGCAAATCAAATTAAATTTTTATGAGCGTTTGAAGTTCATATTTGTACAAGATTGGATATTCACTCGATTTCTCATGTACCTACCGATTTTGTTATTTTATTGTTATTCAAAAACGGACAATTGTAGATACATTAAAATCTTACTGAATGTTTATATTTTCATTTTCTATACATGATACAAATTTGAAAATATTTAGACTCTTTTTGAGCTGTTTACTGACATTTTCAGTTTTAAAATTTTTTAGTTTTTTTTTTGCTATAAATATCAATAAAATGTTATTTGTTGGGTAAAAAATAGTGAAATTTTAATACAAAGCTCCTGATATATTGTTCCAATAGCAATTGAAAAATATTAAAAATACATGGGCAGAATTTTTTTTTTATAAGCATTTAAAATTCAAATGTTGACAACATTTATCAAATTTAAAATTTAAAAATGTTTTTATAGTTAGAATTTTAAAAATGTATAAAATGTTTAACTTTTATAGTGAAGGATTGAAAAATGTACAACAAGGTTCCACGTAAGTAGGTTATTCTATAACCAAAAAATACAAAAACACTGTTATATACTAATTCAATGTAACTGCTACTGTATTAATAATAAGTAGGTATTAAGTAATAACAATATAAAATATAAAATATCCCCACTGACAAACCGCCACCTCTCAGAATCGTTTTCGTATACAATGATAATATTGTATCATTGAATTCAAATTCAAATAATTCAATACCATCCATTATACAGTGACCCACTTGTAACCTACTGTACAGCAAAGGGATATCCACTTACCCACCTTTTTTAAATTTATTATGTCATAAGACAAATTTTCAGTTTTTCTAGAAGAAAAAATGCTTCAATTTTCAACTTTGGGGGTGATTTCTGGTAGCAAATTGAATCTAGTTGGTACATTTGGGGGCAAAAGTAAGACTTTTAATTTTTTTAAGTAATCAGGAAATTAGTTTCTTTTAAATATCTTTAAAACATTTTCTCTTGGTCAAGAATCTTGAAAATAATTTTTAATTTCAGGTTCCTCTGCATAATAATATATTGATCATACACCAATTAAAAAATACATAAACAAAATATTTTTTTTTTAATGTTTAAAAATGCATAGGTTACCTATTACATTTATTTGATAATTAGTAATACAGACTGATAGGACTGTCTTCGTTCAGAATCGTTTTTCATAGGTATGATTTATCATTGAATTCAAATTTATCACATAAGTACTTCATACTTTTATACTTGCTCAATGACAAGGTACACTCGAGTACTCGATACCTATGTACAGCAGATCTGACACTTATACTTCCTTCGTTTTTAAATTATTTATTTAGGTACATTATTTTTCAAATACCTATTAAAGAGTGGCTATTTGTCAATAATGAGTTTTTGATCTAAAGATACCTACCTACTTGTATTTGGATTTGGCCATTACATTTTAAATCACTTTAACATGGTGTATGGAGTTCTAAATCTTTCAGAAAATAGTAGACCAATTTTTATAGTTGTTAGTGACTAGTGAGTAAGTTTTCAAGCCTACGATATTATATACCTGAATTAATATATCGTGACATGTATAGCAATAAATAATAATATATTATCTAATATTTATTATCACGCTTCAGTAGTTCCGTAGAATTCGGGTCACCCCACCTGTTAGGACTGTTAGGAGTGATACCTTGAACTCCATAGTCCTTGAGCTGCAACTATTGTCACAGTGCAGTCGCGTCTTACGAGAAAAACGCATCCTTCGCTGTAGAGACTATATAGTGGATCGTTCGCAATAGCCAATAGGTATCAAAAACAAATAACGGAGATTTTTATTATATTTTACACATACTCATAGAGATAGACAATTCTAGATATAAGTAGGTACTGATACATACTGATAGTATTGTTTATCGATGTACATACTACAGTACCTAGCTGGTTACTGGTACAGTAGTAACTAGTAAGACTGAAAGAGTCTTGTTAAAAATACTTTTCAAATGTATTCAGAATACGCATTTAACTGCTTGATGTCATTTATATATGAAATACGTAGCCGAATACTGTCGTCTATCTTTCAAAAGTATTTGAATATAAATACAAATACATTTTGAAAGTACCAATTCAACATGTAAAAATACTTTAAACGTACGTTTTTGTATAGTATGTAAAAATGTTAGTACGTTCATCACAAATAAATGTATACTTACGACTATTGATAATATTAATAGGTACATTTTTTAATTGCTTCAATAATTTCAGATGTCATATAGGTACCTACACAAACCTATTATATTGTCCAATTAAACTTCAGCAAGGACGCAAGGTAGATATTATGCATTTAAGGCAGTGACGGTTCTAGCGTGTGGGCAGCTGCCCATACCAAAATTTTTGGTGACAATTATTGGGGAAAGGGGGAGGAAATTAGGAATAC